CCCCAGCCCGGCCACCGCTGGGGCCCGGCCCGGCCCCACCAGGCGGCACAGGGCTGGCCGACCCCAGCAGGGAGCTCATTTACCTTTCGAGGCCGGTAGCAAGAGAGATCTTTTACCAGGCTTGACTGTTTTTAAAATGCAGAATTCACAGAGGTGGACCCAGTTTCTAAATGGTTTAATAGATGCCAATTCTCAGTGCTAGTCAGCTATTTTATTTTTTTTTCCAGGCACGGAGGAAGCTCTTAGCAGCTTCTCTCAGAAAAATAATTTCCATAAGTGTTTTTTTCCTCCTTACTAAATATCAATTAATGCAAAACCAGCACAAAGATCCTCCTATACTGAAGTGAAAGGGAATTTCAAAGCACTAATCAGGTGGCTTATGAGTGATCAGTAAGAACTTAGGGCAGTAAGAAAAGTGGACAAATAAGTTTCATTTTATCAATCTCCCATAGCCCTAGCAAATATTTTCCTACTTTTATACAAGTCTCTTTCTCAGCACATCTGTTAGGCAGATTGTGAATTTTGTATAAAATCTTAACCCTGCAGAAACAGCAAGCAGTTCTTTTCATGCTTAAATTTGATCTTTAGGGAGCAATAGGATAAACTCACATAATAGCCTGATAACAACAAACAGAACCCTTGAATAAATGTAATTTTGAAGGTAAGACTCATAGAAATCATACAACCAAATGCTACTGAATAAATGTCAAAACACTTGGTATAGCCTCAGAGCAATATAAATCACAAAAATACACACTTTTTTTCCCCATATTTATTTTGGCAGCTTCAGCTGATATAAACATGTCCCTAAGATTAAGTCCCCAAGTTTGCTTCAACAATTTTGTATTTAGGATATTCAAAAACATAGTTATGGTACCTCATTTATAGTAGATGATGATATACTGGTATTCATTTAAGCACACAAACAAGGCAGTGATAAATACATCACTGTATACATCAAAACAAGAAATGTGATTTAATAATTTTTAAAATTATTAAATTTAAATTATTTTTTTTAATTTTTTCAGCCCTTGAGTTGTGAATGATGTTACATATCTTTTGCATATATTCACCTCCCTTTTTGCCATTTTTTTCCCTATCAAATGAAGCCTGACAAAAAGCGCCATCACCTGACACTCATTCTTCTTGTGCTGATTTCTTACTCTTCTCCCTTGGCATCTCCCTTTTCACTTTCAGCTCCCTACTAATGATTTCTCCTGTAAATCTGTTGCTGTCCTTGGATTATATCTGGGTATCAGGATATGGACCACCTCTGAAGAAAGTAGCTGTCCTGCACCAATTTCCCAGGTAAGCAAGGAAGGGATACCAAGTCCAGGATGCATTAAATGCTTTTTATTCAGAGTGATTTAGGAGTTCATTGGTATCAAAGACAGTAGCTGGCTTATCACCTGGACCTTATTTGTCACAGTCTTTATTTTCATGTGCAGTACAAGGTTTAGACAATGAGTTAATAACCCTGTGACTGAGGAATAGTCCCAAAATGGAATACAGATTTTCCAATAGAATTAGAAACTCTAGTTTAGGAAAATAATTGCTTTTGAAGTCTGCTAAGGGCATTGAAGAAATAAAGGTGTTTCCAGTGACTGTTTCTTTTCAATGGAATATAGCTACATTCATGCTTTCAGCCATTCATTTTTGATTTTCCCACAGGGAACTACTGTGGAAACATGAGAAATGTCATTCAATAAAAGTGAAACTATGGGTACCTAAGCTCTTTAAGTATGTAGATTTCTTTGTTAATGATTTTTATATCCCATGGCAAAGACTTGCTCCACCCCATCACAGCAACATAAACAGAACATGTAATGCTGAATAACCATGTTAACATCATAATATTTTTTTTAAAAAAAATGTTTTTGCTGTGTTTGCTGATATTTTATAGCCAGACTAGATATGCAGTATAATATTAAATGCTTTCTTCTAGTGTATCTTTGTGCTAGAAAATACCAACACAATTCAGCCAAATGTCTAATAAAAAGCGTTTGCATATTCTTCAGAACTGTCATCAGTCCCCTGGAAGTGACATTTTCTGCCAATCATTCTTTCCACCATGCTAGAAAGAGACTGTGGGTCACATCCCCCACTATGCAAATACAATCACCCTGCTGTAGAGGGTTAATTACAATTAACATGCACATTTTAGCATGATTGATAAAAAAAAATCTTCCTTCATGTGATTATAGTCAAGAATTTGATCATCAACACAAATAGGCCTCTGGAGAATGCTTACCTGGTATTAGCTGGGCAAGGTTAAAATATAGACAACTATTAATGATTATTTTCCATCAGATAGTATGACAGTAGCTAAAAGATAATTAAACCTAAAGGTAATTCTTTTCTGTTTCAGAATGTTGCCCACGTGAAATAGAACCACGTTGAGCTAAATGGACATGCAAACTCACACTAGAAAACAACCAGAGGCTTGCAACACAACAAAGTAGCACAGTGAGGGAGACCCATCATATAATCACCTTCATTTTTACTTCTGAACACAAAAGCAAAGAGATTAATTGATTCATGCCTAACCAAACCAGGAGTTTCTGGGTGTCCTGCCCTAAAAGGGAGCTCTCATTGAGCTGTAATTACAAGGCATTTCAGACACAATTGAGAAGTAACATTCATCATTCTCTAAATTAACTCTTGTGGCCTATCACACTATATTAGGAACAGCGAGGCACTACGACAAAGACTCCCCTAGCTTCATTGTCCAAGAGAGCAAAGTTTATTACTCTTAACCTTCTTTTATACACATGTTCGAGAAGGTCTGAGAGGTAAAACTCCCATTAGTCATTAAAGCAACACATCACCAGCATTGGTTAAGTGGAACACCACCCCTTGACTGTTTTCCTAAACACCACCTGCAAAGATTGTTGTCCTTTACCAAGGACTGTTCAGATTCTTTCTCATGCTTTCTCAGGCCAGAATGAGAAGCCTGTGTGACTTAGTTTCACACAGGCTCTGTTCCCTGCTCATTTTTTGCATTTAGCA